TGCTCTGCAGTGAATGGGTGCCGTCAGAATGAGAGTCCAAACAGCTGATAAACACATCACAATAATCCACACCATTCCAGTCCATCTGTTAATGTCTTGAGAAGCCAAAAACTGTGTGTTTGTAAGAAAGAAATTCATCATTTAAGTGTTTTACCTTAAGGCCACAATCCTTAACACCGCTTCCTCAGTGAAAAAGTCCATCTACTGTTGTCTCTCACATCAAAATCCACCACATGTTTGTTCAGATCAGTTTTGGCTTGTAAACGCTGCTTGATCTGTGCAGATTTCTCTCCTGATTCAGACCAGATGGACTTTTCCACTGGAGAAAACAACATTTGAAGTTACAAATGTCTTGATAGAGTTGCGTATTACAAACACACAGCTTTTCTTACTTGTGGATTATTGTGATGTTTTTATCAGCTGTTTGGACCCTCGTTCTGACGGCACCCATTCACTGCAGAGCACCGAGACACTGATGCAATGCTACATTTCTCCAGATCTGATGAAGAAACAAACTCATCTACATTTCATATGGCCTGAGGGTCAGTATATTTTCGGGTGAACTGTTTCTTTAATTAAAATGAATGATTATGAATGTAATTCAGATTTATGACATCTCTAAATCTAAAGCTGTCTTGTTCTCTCGCTGTTTTGGGAAGTCTTTATATGAGGCTTTATTTCTTCTGGCTCAGATTCACACAAACACAAGGACAAACACAAAGAGCGAGAACACAGCCACAAAGAGCACAAGAGAGACAAGGAGCGAGGAAACTGGAAGAACTGCCACAGGTGATCCTTTTTATTACTTTTTATTGCAAGGTTTGTACACATCATTACTCCTCGCACTCTGACAGTCAGGATCTGTTGTCCTAAAGGAGAAACGTTTCATTTGTTTTGCAGTGAGCACAAAAGCTGTTCTGAGAAGAAGCATCGCGAGAAAGAAAAAGAGCGGCTCAAGCACAAAGAAAAGCAAAAAGAAGAAAAGGTTGATTTAATTGTGCCATACCATAGAGTTACAAAATATAATGAATGAAACATGTGCCTTGTGTCTCTCTGAGTATATTTGAGCATTCTTTATGTTTATGAATATTGTTTTGGGTGTGTTTTTGTGAAGTTTCATAGCTCTGATGGGAAATATCGAGATAAAGAGAACGGCTTTGTAAGGTAAGACAAGTGATGCTCCTCATTTATAAGTCACAGTGTTTTGATTTGCACATTGGAAAATAGAAATTGTGTTATTTTCTATATGCACCAAGATAAACATTTCAGGTTTTTCACCTTGTAATCTGTCAGGCCTCTTGTATGCATTTTTCCTGTGGTGTAATTGTCTATCTATCTATCTATCTATCTATCTATCTTATAGCAACACTCCAGCAACTATCCAAACCAACCTAGCAACCACCCTGGGTACCCTAGCAACACCTTAGCAACCACCCCGGGTACCCCAGCAACCGCATAGCAACACCCTAGCAACCATCCCGGATACCCTAGCAACCGCATAGCAACACCCTAGCAACTGCCCTGTGTACCCTAGCAACCGCATAGCAACACCCTAGCAACCACCCTGGGTACCCTAGCAACGGCATAGCAACTCCCCGAGTACCTTAGCAACCACATAGCAACACCTTAGCAAGATTTTTTTTTTTATGTTCTTTAAAATGATGTAAAATGACGCGTTCCACTGCTTATGTGTTGTTTCAGCTCTCTGTCAATTAAAGTGGAAGAGGACAATGGCTATCATCACCCCATCAAACATGAGAAAGCACTCAAGAGAGAGCGGGATGAAGACGAGTATGTGCAGTAAGATCAGTTCCCATCATCCTCGGCACATGCACTCGTTTGCTAAAACCAGAACGATTTCTGTTTGTAAAGCAGGTATGAACACAAACCCAAAAAGGTGAAAGTGGACAACGAGAAGAAAGTGAAAAAACGCAAACAGGAGGAAGATGACGGTGATTTTGAGGAGAGGGAGGTATATATATATATATATATATATATATATCACTCTTTCTGAGCCTTCACTTTAGCTTTGGACTGTTACTCATGGCATATCTGACCCATCCAGGAAAAGAAGCCAAAGAAGAGGACGAAAGAGGTCAAGAAAGACACCACTGGAGGGAAGAAGAAAGCCAAAAACGAGCCGGAGCAGAAGTGGAAATGGTGAGACATAATCGAGACAAAAATAAAAATGTTGCTCCCAGTCAAATGTTTCTCCCTTCTTGTCTTTCTGCTGCTGCTGAAATAGATGCTATTTCAACTCTCGTTCTGTCGATCAGAGAATAATACTCACATTTCGTTATGTTTTCACAGAAAATCAAAGAAGAGAACGAGCGCATTCTGCAGGAGTACGGATACTGCGTCATGGACAACCACAGGGAGCGGATCGGGAACTTCCGGATCGAGCCGCCGGGTCTGTTCCGCGGCCGCGGGGATCATCCTAAGATGGGCAAACTGAAACGCCGCATCCGCCCCGAGGACATCATCATCAACTGCAGCAAGTCAGTCGCTGAGCTTTCAGTGTTATTACTGTTTTCATGTTGCAGAATAATAGTAGAGTTAGAGAGTAAAACTAGGGATGGGCGGTATATATCTTTACCACCATATAAAGTGGCTATCGTTAGAGATTTTGCTAAATCGTTGATTTCGCAGTATGCAAATATATTCTCGTAGCACAGTACTGCTTAAAAGTTCTACACGCCTAAGAGTGAAAAGGAAACATGCATGAATGAGAAAATAAAGAGTGGAACGTACTAGGGATGGGCATTTTTCAAAAATATTGCATTCGAATATTTGAGCTCGCAAAAAATGAATATTCGAATATTCGTTTATTTAAATGACTTTTAATGGGATAGACGTTTTTTTATCAAACTTTATTTTTGTCACCATTTCTGAATAATCTTATCACACCAAGCTTATAAATTAGGCCTATATCCTGTGTTTTTTCCATTTGAAAACATTAAACATTGTGTGCAAAAAAAAAAAAATCTACAGAAAAAAGCATTTAGCGCAGAGCGAATGAAAAAAAAAGTCTATAAGGCACATACATATACACTCAAGTCGGCATGGTGTTTGCATTGTTTCACATGTTCTTGTTGAAAAAACAACATGTAGGCTATATGATACACTTTGGTTGCTGTGATACAGAACAGCCGCTGAAGTAATGTGGCAGAAGCATCACGAATGAAATGTTGCATGCATTATTTTTAAATTTCATATATCAGTATTAACTTCTCCATTGCCGTTCAGTCGAAGTACAATGTGACAGTTGGTCGGTGCGGTATTTGCCCCGCCCCTCCTCCACTGTGATTGGACGGCTGACTGAAAACTGACAGTGATGATGAGCGCTGCGCTTTGCCCAAAGTTGAACATTTATTAGCTCTTTGTTTTGCTGCTGGCGTCTTAAAAAATGCAGTGTTCCCATTGAAAACTATTGAAATATACGCTAGCCTCTGGAAAAAACGCTTAGGTGGATAGACGTCCTTCTGTTAAAGGGCTCATATGATGCGATTTCAATTTTTCCTTTCTCTTTGGAGTGTTACAAGCTCTTGGTGCATAAAGAAAATCTGTAAAGTTGCAAAGACTAAAGTCTCAAATCCAAAGAGATATTCTTTATAAAAGTTAAGAGTCAGCCACGCCTACCTAAAACGGCTCGCGTGCTGTAGAGAAAATAAGTGGTCTCTCGGCTCGCTCGGAGTCGGGGTACATCTGCGCCAACCTGCAGTAGTGAATGCAGTGATGTGCTGCTGATTTTCTTCATTCAACGTTCCAGTGTTTGCATTTCATGATTCCTCATTTCAGTGATAACTCAGTGCCACTTGACAGAGTTTGCGTGCTCAGGATTTATCAGGGATTTACGGCATTCATGGCCAGCAAAGCAACATTTTAAAGAAATTCGAATAGTGTTTTTATTTTTCGAATAATTAATGCAGATAGAATATTCGAATATGCAACTATCCGTGCACACCCCTAGAACATATGAGAAGTTATTAAGCTCAGTGTGCTCGCGCTGACTGACACACCTGAAGCACTCGCACAGAAAGCGTCTCTCTCTGACAGCATGCGATCGTGAACTCAGATCTCTTTCGCGTCTTATTGCGCTTGAACAGTCAAACACACACACAATTATGTCAGAATGGCCGTTGAATGGAGTATTGACATAAACGCTGGACTTGTCCAAATACCCACACTTGCGGTCTTGGCCACTTGAGAGTGCATGCATGCAACAGAGGAAGTAAATGCGCAAGACTGTCCCAGGTCTTAAAAACGCAGAAGCGCAGTGCCCTTAACGCACACTGAATCCACACTATCTCGAATACCGTTTTTTGCCGAGATCTTGCGAGATGTTTTAAATTTTTTTGCATTAAGTCCTATGTTTCTTTCTTTTTGAATTATTGCTTGAGCAGACACATTTTGTTATGTCTTTTCAGACACCTACGTTTAATTTCCTTAATTATAACATTTTTAGTGCTATTTTTAAACGTTTAGTCAAGCAATAATATATTCACTCATGTATGTCTGAAAGGGATTCAAAATGAATTGGTTCTGATTAAAAACGGTAGGCTATTTTTTTCGTTACAGATACCGAGTTACCAATTAGAACGAAATAAAACATTACTGCTCCATTTATTCAGAAACAAAAGTCATATAAAATGCTATTTGTGTAGCCTATTTAAATTTTCATTATATTAGTCTACAGCAAACGTTATGGCGCTGTCAACACTGCACTCCGACAGATGACAGAAGAACTGCAGAGAAATTCAAGCCATTGTAATTTCCTTATCCATTTGACACAAAACTACTATAATTAAACTGTGTATATAAAATAATTTTATTCTGTCATATTTGGAATTTTTTTAATGAAATTTTTTATGTAAAATTAGTTGTTCTATTCGTTACGTATTAAAATAGCTATTTGTTATGTTCATATATATTCGTTATGAAAAAAAATCTTTATCAAGAATAGCTTATTTGTTATGAAGTTGATTTCAAAATTCTTTATAACAAATTTTAAGAAAAAGTTACAAATTAAGAAAATAGAAGAATAAAAAATAATTCTTGATACTGTCTTTAAAATGAGAGAAATCACTGACATTTAGACAATTTAGCCTAATTTAGGCTGTTTTACTTTATTCCACTGCAGAAAAAACGAAAATGCCATTTAACTTGCAATGTTAACTTATGAAATAAAATAAAGATAAGAAATCTTTCAAGAAAATCAGAACAAGATGCGATCAAGAAAAATATTTGACAAAATTACAAAATGAACCTTTTGACAGTGAATGCATAGCCGCATATACGATCGCTGGCGTCAGTCGCAAATATTTATTTGTTTATGTTTAAAAAACTCTTTGTGGAAACGACTAGTAACGACTGGTTCTTGAATTCTAAGATTATAATCTTTAGACACCACACACTATGCGATTTTTCTGCCGACTGCAAACAGACCGTGGTTCGTCTGGGCATGATCCGTCGTCAAGACTGAATTACATTCATAATCGGCTTGACAGTCGTGTACTGTAGTGTGTTCTCGGCTTAAGAGTTAAATTCTCTCCCCTATTAATAAAAAATGGTTTAACCCAACACAAGAAAAAGGGAACTTTGAGGAGTCACCAGACCAGGATATGGTGAGTACACAGCATGCAGGGTCACTGTTTGCAATGTGGAGATTAATACAGATTTGAAATAATAAATTACAAAATGCATAACTTCAACTTGTCTCTGCGTGGTTTATGGGGAAACATATCACCGGGGAACTGTGGTAGACATAACACATTGCAATGACTACTGATATGTGCACCTATCTGCAATCAACACAAACCGCATGATATCTTAAACAGTTTTTATCAATAAATGTTATAGGATAATGAACCAGATCAAACATAATTGTATCTTATGCCTGGTAAACTGTACCACTGTCAACAGAGACACAGAACCATAACTAACAAATGTAAAGAAACATAAGACAGTTGTTTGTATTGCAGTAGTGATGACATAATCTGAGCACCCCTCATCACAAATCTATTGTAGAGACTACTGAATAGACATTTAGAAGTTTATTTTAAAATGCAAAGTCTTGAAAATGAAAATAAAGCTCTGTAAACACTTGCATCGGGTAATGAAAAGTGCTACACACTTGTGGTCTTCACGCCCACTTGAAGACTTGGGACAAATACAGGAAATACGTCATGCAAGTAGACAAGTGGTCAAGTGCAAAGACCGCAAGTGTGGGTTTTTGAACAAGTCCACAGTTGGTTATGTGTTAAATTATCGTAAACAGTTGGGTGAAAACCGGATGTGTATCAGTATATTGGATCTGTGCCGTCGGTCTTAAAGGGACATCAGCCTAATAAACCTGCTGCTGTCTGTCATTAATGTTAATCAAACAACACAAGATAAAGAGAAAATCACTCACTGCACTTGACTGAATCACTTTTGGATCTTTAATAATCCATTCACTTTGCTTCATACTGTGAAGACTGGGCAGTGTTTTAGTTTTTGTTCTATTGTGTTTGTAATTAGCTCATTTGTTCTTATTTTTAATAACAAAAATAAATAATAATAATAAAATATATATATATATAGCATTTAGAAAAGATTAAATACTCCAAGGCACTGATATAATAAAGATAAAAAGCCTTTAACTGGGCTAAGTCATTAAAATTGTTAAAAGTGTAGATCTACAAGTCTTCTTAAATAATTAGCAATCAATAAGCAATCACCAACGACAGCTGGTTGATCAGTGGGAGTGGCTAAGACAATGATATATATATATATATATATATATATATATTTACATATATATTTCATTGTTGTGAAATACCATGAAATAAGATTTTGGTCATATCGCCCACCCCTAGTAAAAACTATAAAATAACATGAGTGGATGTATGGGAATTATGTATTGATAAAAAGGTGAAAACTTATATTTGATTTTCTTCAAAGTCCTTGTTCTAGATTGTAGATTATCTGTCTGTATGTTGTTCTATCTATCTATCTATCTGTCTGTCTATCTATCTATCTATCTATCTATCTATCTGTCTGTCTATCTATCTATCTATCTATCGTCTGTCTATCTATCTATCTCTCTGTCTCTGTCATCTATCTGTCTGTCTGTCTGTCTATCATCTTTCTATCTATCTATCTGTCTATCTATCTGTCTGTCTGTCTGTCTGTCTGTCTATCTATCTATCTATCTATCTATCTGTCTGTCTGTCTCTGTCATCTATCTATCTATCTATCATCATATGTCTGTCTGTCTTTCTGTCTATCTATCTATCTGTCTGTCTGTCTTTCTGTCTATCTATCTATCTATCTATCTATCTATCTGTCTGTCTGTCTGTCTGTCTATCTATCTATCTATCTATCTGTCTGTCTGTCTGTCTGTCTGTCTATCGTCTGTGTCTTTCTGTCTTTCTGTCTTCTATCTATCTGTCTATCTATCTGTCTATCTATCTGTCTGTCATCTATCTATCTATCTCTCTATCTATCTGTCTGTCTGTCTGTCTGTCTATCTATCTATCTA